GGGGGCGTGGAAGGAATGAAGGAAGGAAGGAAGGAAGGAAGGAAGGAAGGAAAAACATATAGGGCAAAATTTTGTTAGCATAACTTTATGTTCTGTTAGCACAACTTTGTGCCACCATAATCTGGATTGGGTGCTGGAAGCCTCCCATCTCCGTCCCTTTGGGATCCTAAGGCTGGGGAGGGAAAGCTTTTAAATAGTAAAACAAATTCTGCCAGATCACTGCCAGCAGTCTCAGTCCTGCCAGTGGCAATTTGAAGCACTTTCTGTTCTGTTCTGAAACCTTTAATGGCATTTACAAACTACAACAACAGAAGCAAAATAGGAGAAGTAAAATTACACAAATTTCACAAATGAGGAGCAAGAAGCAGGGGACAATTTCAGAATTGCAGATCAGAAACCTGCAACAGTAGCGGTCAGGGAATTACATTCGTCACTCATGAAAATAGAAAGAATGGACTCAGAAGAATTGGGAAAATAAGAGATCTAAGGTTCAAGAAAAAAAAATTCAGAAGTGAGAATAAGCAGGGCATTGAAACAGTGTGTGAATCAGGGTGTCAGGAGTCTCTAAACAAAAAAAAAGTCTTTTTTCACGAGGGATGTTAGTGCAAAAACGCGGAATAATAGCAGGTTTAGCAGAGTATTTAAGCAGTCCAGGGAGTCCAGAATAACTCACGCACACTCCAGCAGCTTCTCCTCCACCAATGTGTATTTACAAGGTATTTACAGCAGTTCAGTCTGGCAGCATAACAGGTAGCAATCATCACCAAGCAGGAAGATACATCAGCTGTTCATTTCACACATATATATACACATACAGATTTGCTTGTGTCCAATCACATTATGTGTTGCATCAGCCATTAGTCAGCACTGCTGAATCATCATGACTCAGTTTTAACACATCTGTTCATCATGGCTGCTCATTAATATGCTTTATTCTGATCAGACCTTTAAATTTACCTTGACAAGGGATATTAAGAAATCGACCAGCATGGGTGGCCAAAGGAAAAATATTAAAACGGGCTAATATAAAAGCTCTTCTTAGATGTGGGCTTACTAGGGAATGGAAATATTTGGGAGAATGATCCTGAGATGGAAAGAATCCAACAGAAACATGGGAACATACAGGATTAAGGTTATTGCATAGGTAATTGAATTCGGTGTGACAGAGCTTGTCCTTGATTATGCAATAAGCCCTAGGGAGATTCATATCTACCAAAGATTCCAGGGATATGTGAAGAGAGAAGAGTTTCTTTTCAAGAAGCCGGAACCAAGAAAAGGAGTAAGAATCACACAATAAATCATATATCAGGGATCCAGAATGTGAATTTAAAAAAAGACGGAGCCAAAATTTAAATGTGAGTAACCAGGCAGTTGTGGAAGGTAGGTGAATGCCCAATTCTAAAGAAATAGTAGAAAGCTGAATTAAGTTGCGAACTCTTAATATTCTGCGAAAAAACGTTGCTGCAACTTGATCAATATCCAAATTAACCGAGTGCATCCATATAGGCACACCATATAGCAAGTGAGAAAGAATCTTAGACTGAAAAATCTGAATGGCTGCTGGGATATACTGGTTACCGAAAAAATAATGAAACTTAGAAATAGCTCTTAATTGGGGAGAAATTGAAGAGATAGCATCTTTTTAATGTCCAGCTGAGTTTGTGATAAATAAGAAGATCAAAATACTTATAAGAGTATATTTGACGAGAGGAAGAAGATCCTATTGTCCAAGGGGTAGGGGACCAAGAGTGGGGGAAAAAAAACAAAATTTGAGGTTTACTAGGTTTAATGGATAGATCATTAAGATCACAGAAATCCTGAAATTTAAGTAAAGTGCAACGAAGGCCCGATCTAGTATGAGACATCAGCACTATCATCGGTGTACAGGAGTATACATAAGGGAATACTGTTAAGGGCCAGAGCTGACTGACTGCCAAGGGAAAGAAAAGAGGGAAGATCGGCTAAAAATAAATTAAATAATAGAGGCGCCAAAATACAACCTTGGCGGACGCCTTTGAAAATTGGAATATTTTCAGTAAGAGTGTTGGAATTAGGTAAACGAACCTGGCAGGAATTAGGGAATGCAATTGATGGAGCAAAAAAAGCAGGTGTGGATCGATGTTGTGTCAGATTCATGTTGGTTGCTTCGATGACACTGTCCAACCATCTCATCCTCGGTCGTCCCCTTCTCCTCTTGCCTTCACATTTTCCCAACATCAAGGTCTTTTCCAGGGAGTCCTCTCTTCTCATGAGATGGCCAAAGTATTGGAGCCTCAGCTTCAACATCTGTCCTTCCAGTGAGCACTTTTCCACAGTAGATCTCTATTTACGGAATCAAATGCCCCTCAGAGGTCCACAAAGGCAACAAAAAGTTTGGTTTTGTTGTGGATTACGTATTTTTCAGCAAGAAAAGTCAGCAAAAAGATATGATCCAGAGTGGGCGCTCCAGCATGAAAGCCTATCTGTTCCTTTCCAGGAAGAAAGGAGAGTTATTTTCAAGAGATATTTAGAATATAATTTTCCAATATTGGATAATAAACTTATTGGGCAATAATTTGAGGGTTAAGAGGGATCGTCTTTTTTATGAATAGGTATAAGAATGGATGATAACCAGAAGTTTGGAAAACAGCCAGAGTGATTTATCAAGGTAAAAAGAGTAGCTAAGGGCTCTGCCCACTAGTGAGGGTTTACGGTCAAGATCTCATTAAGATCTCAGGGCCAGGAGCTTTACCTGGTTTAAGTGAAATAATTAATGAAGTACTTTGTTTGTTTAACTATTAAAGTCTTCCCTGCAATCTGAGAAATCCAAAGGCACTTCAGGTCTAAACAAGTTTCAGGCATTGACCACAAATCTCCCACTTTATACATAACCACACTGTGAGATTGGCAAAATATCTGATAATATATTTCACTTCTGTGCCTCTAATAAACTATTCATTTACAACTATATCAATCTATAGGTGTACTTTTTACTTTTACAAACTATTAAAATATTATTCAAAGTTCCTAATAATTATTTATCTACCTTTTAATGGTTTTTGAAGGGTTTTAGTACTTGAATACTATGCACCTTTTTCTTTATAAGAGTTTGAAATTGAAATTCTATAAATTGAATACTCTATATCACAATGTACTGAAATTAGCTTTCAGCCTCAACAACTACTTCAAATTCTTTGCATTTAAGTTCCTTAAATGATACGTGGATGGGCAAAATTTAAAGTTATCACAAATATTTACAAAACTATTCAAGTAGAAATTTAAGAAATATACTACTTACTTAGAATTTATAATCCAAGACCTTTTCTTTTGTCTTCTACCAAAGGCCATAATTTTTGTTTTTTGATCATTTATTTCTAGTTCTTTCATTCTGCAGAAGTCTGCAAATTTCTTAAGGGCTCTCTTTAGGCCTATTGGAGTTCTCCCTAGAAGCACGGCTTCATCCACATAAAGAAGGATAGGAATATGTCTTTGATGTAATTTTGGAGAGTGAAGACTAGGAGAATTCAGGTGTTCTACTATGTCATTTATATATAAATTAAACAATGAGGGGGCCAATAAGCAGCCCTGTCTAACTCCTCTATAGGTGTTAATCGGTTCTGTTAAATTTCCTTTTCTATTGAGCCTAACCTTGAGATTGGTATTATTATGTAGCACATGCAACAACAGAAGTAATTGTTTATCTATTGAGGTGGCTTCTAAATTGGCCCATAGTTGCTGTCTCAAGTTTGAATCAAAAGCCACTTTCAGATCAACAAATGCAGCATATAATGAGGTTGGGCCCTTTGCTGCATATTTCTTATAAGGTGTTGAAAAATAAGACAATGGTCCATAGTGGATCTATACTCTCTAAAACCGGCTTGCTCTACAGCAATCCTATTTTCTTCGATCAACCAAATCTCAAATTTGTCCTGCAGATGCCTAGCATATAGTTTACTGCATATATTTAAGAGACTAATACGGCGATAATTTGCTGGCTCATCTCTTAGTCCTTTTTGCTGTATTCCGTTCTACAGGAAAGAGGCTCATAGAGTCGACAGAGAACTGGCAGCAAAATTTTGGGTGGCATGCTATAGCAGCCAGAATAGACAGTTAAACCCTTAGACCTTGGTCTTACATTGCTGTTTGTTGTTTTAGATATTTTACTTTTTGTATGTCTGGTATGGCTCTTTGTAGTGCATGCCAGTCTTTGAAGTTTTGTATTCAATTTTGTATGGCTCGATGCCGTAACAATAAAGTATGTATGTATGTATGTATGTATGTATGTATGTATGTATGTATGATGTATGTATGTATGTATGTATGTACTTACTTAGAAAGGACCACATCCATTCCTGGACTAAAGCTTACAGAATCCATAAGAAGACCCAATACACAAACAGCAATAATTCCAGACATCCCAAGCCATTCAGCTAGAGACAGAAAAAAAGAACAAAGGATTAAAATCACAGTTGCAGTTTGATTCATCATCATACATGTCTCTGTTAAAAGTTAAGCATTAGTCTTTGCATTTGGTAGGTATTAACATGGTCAGCTTACCCAAATAGAAAACTAAGTATGTCATTGAGAAACTCAAAATTACTTCAGTGATCCGATCATTGAAAATGTTTGCCAACCAGAAAGTTACCATTTTTGAACTCACAAATCCAAATACAGCACTTCCAAAAATTTTTAAAGTCAGCTTCACAAAAATCTCTTGAACTGTGAAAGGAAACAAAATGCAGTCGTTTGCTATTTGCATTACAATATTTAATTTTCAAAGAATTATACCTGCTGTTGTTTAATTAATTGTACTCTGCACTCTCCACCCTGCGTCAAGGAGAATTTCAAGACTCCCCAAGTAGACATGGTCTAGAGGGGCTGGGTATAAATAAATAAATAAATAAATAAATAAATAAATAAATAAATAAATAAATAAATAAATAAATAAATAAATAAATAAATAATACTCCTATCTGATGCGCCAGACAACTCGCCTGTGTTAACCTATGCTTTATAATTTTTTTAAAAATCATCTTTTAATCCCTTTAAAATCATTAGGACAAATTACAGAACAGTTCTATCTCAAAGACTGTTAGCTAAAGGGATTAGAATTAAGTATAAACCTTTTCTGCTAATCTCAGAAATCACCTGCCAGAATAATCTGCCAGCAGAACTGCCCTGCTGGCTAAGATCTGCCCAGCAAAAGAGTCAGATCCAAATTTCTTGCAGTCCAGGAACACAGCCATCATGCTGTCAAAGTTATGCTATGGCAAGAACGGCCTGAAAGAAAGAAGGACTTTGACTGCAGCATTACTTCTTCTGCTTTAGTGATGCTTATCAGGCCCATGACCATCTTGACCATTTTAGTGTTGAACATTTTAGTCCATTCAAATCAGTGTAAGGTTTTGTGCTGACTTTAGTAAGAACATGAAAGCACCTTTTAAGCCTAACCCAAAGCAAAACTAATCGGGATATAATCCTCTACTTTTATCTGGAAATACCATGACACTCATTAGGAATTACCTCTGAGTAGACTCAGGATTTCATTATTAATTCTGATCCAACCCAGTATCACAGAGGGCAATATGCAGAAAACTAAAATTTATACATCATTGTTAGTATAGTACATGCATATGTAACATAGTCTCCTGCCAACCTAGCAGTTTAAAAGCATGTAAAAATGCGAGTAGATAAATAGGTAGCACCACGGTGGGAAGGTAATGGCATTCCATGTCTAGTTGTGCCTGCCACGTGACCACGGAAACTGTCTTCGGACAAACACTGGCTCTATGACTTGGAAACAGGGATGAGCACCGCCCCCTAGAGTCGGGCATGACTGGACTAAATGTCAAGGAGAACCTTTACCTTTATATAACATAGTTAACTGGTGGTAGACTGCAGTCTTCTTTTGGGACTTAAAAAAAATCAAGCATAAAACTAGAGTTCCATTGAATTCAGTGGAGCCTACTTCTAAGAGGATATGCACAGTACAGTATTTTTTTATGTGTTAGCAGACCACAGAGTTACATTGACTTGTTTTGGAAATGTTTATGGTACCCAATCACCAGGCTGAACTATTTTAAGTCGAAATGAAGCATACCTACTCTACTGGATTTCTAATTAAAGTATAAACTTTCACAGCATCTCCAGCTCTGGAATGCTTCTACTGTACTCTGCGAATACTGAGGATGTATAGTGTGGCATGTACGTTGACAAATACCGATATATAGGAACTTCTCAGTTTTAGGAAAGAATATTTCATTACATTTTTTCTTCCACCTTCTAACCTGCCTTCTAAATCTCCTTTATAACCTTCCTCCTAACATTTAACAATTAGAGTCATGACACAATACAAATTGTATATTTATGCAAGAAAAAAATGACAGGAAGAAATAGACTTACCTATTTTCTGATAACTATGGTTTACCAGGTCCCTATATAACTCAAAAACAATTGTGGTAGTAGCACCATTAAACAAAGATTCACCTTTAATCAAGTTGATAAGTATTTTTGAAATGCCTAAGAAACAAAAGAAAATCACAAAAATGTCTAATTTGATGCTTGACAAATGGATAGTTTAAACAAGTGTGAATTCCCACAATTTGAATATAGTTGTATTTTTATCGTGTATAACGTCATCAACAAGAAAAAATGTAGAATAAAATCCTGATTTAAAGATTCTTAAATCTCCTTACATCTATTCTAAAGCTCCCATACACTAAAAATTAGATGATATATTTAATACATCGTTAGAAGCAAGGCTGTTTTAACATGTAAAATATATCTTTTTAACTTTGAATAAACTTGCTTCACATGCTTCAGATTATTTTTATTTTAACAGTGGAAGATAAGCACAACCTTTGTTTGTAAGTTCAATTGTGCAGAGCTTTGAAAGAACTGCATGCCTAGAAGGGGAAATCTGCAATATTAGGAAATGTATGCTCTTTTTTAATATGCTGTTTGGCTCTCTTCAGATGATAAACTCTGTGGGAAAATGTAGATGTATGTCCCCTGCCACACACAAAAATTACATTATGTAGAAGTAACACATTTTAATTTAAATAGCCTGTCAGTTTCACATAAATGAAAAGGTCAGTCAAATGATAGACAACTGTTCTTACAAGTTATTTCAGAGGCAAAGTACGGTAGGTTTTATTGATTTCCTTCTACTTTTTTACTTGACCGTTCCCTCTATTCCTCTATTCTATTCCGCTTGTCACTCTTCTTGCCTCCAGTGCCTCAGTTATCCTCTTCTATGTCAAAGGTTTCTATGCCAGTGCTTCACCTGTGAGTCACCCCTTCACATTCTCCTACACCCCACCATGACAGCAAAAGAATTCAGGAATGAAACATTTTGCAAGTTTTTGAATGTTTAGTTGACCCTAATAAAGATACTGTCCCCCTGCGGATACTGGATTTTATTTTGCTATGGTTCAAGGTGTCTTCTTTCCTGTTGTGGGTGTGCTAAACCTACATCTAGAGGTTTGCTCTTTTAGTGGGGGTCAGAGCCAGAGACAACAGGAGTGAGTGAGGCATTCAAAACAGTTGTATTCCCCTGGTGGAATACAACTGTTTTGAATGCCTCACCCAGTGCAAAGATTGGATGCACACCAATAGGTCATTTCAGATAGTTTTATACTCTTTTTAGACAGAAAAGAGGAAGACGGCAAGAAATTCTACCAATCAACAAGTTACAGGTATTCACCTCTTCGTTCATCAGCATGCTACAATCGAACAGTCTCTTTGCAAGGCAGGTATGTCCTGAAGCATGCAGGCAAGAAACAGAGGAAGTGTTCTCACAGTAAATAGTGCAAGACCCTACCCTTGGGAAAGGGCATCCTGGATAAGATTTCTGGTGATAGCAACTCTCTTTCAAGCTAGACAAGGTTAGCCGGACTTTAGATATGATTTGCTAGGTGAGAGATTATGCAGCAAGGACAATGAAGCTCAGAGAAATACCCTTAATAAAGGAGCATTAATTATTAAAATTTCCCCAACCTTTCCCTTTCGGAACTGCTCTTGAAAATGTCACATTTGGCTGTAGAGGCCACATCCTACCTTTTGTGAAAGAAAATGTTCTACTACTGAAGAGGGGCTGCACAGAAGATTGTGAACTAAGTAAAAAAAAAATCATCCCGTTTTAACTGATTATCTATCCCTGCATCTAAGATATAATTCGCAGCTTTGTTTACGTAAGTTTGGTTATTTCTTTGTCCTTCTGCTGAATGCCACCAAAGAAACCTACTTCTTTCACCTGAAGCTACTTGCAGAAACCGGCTGCAATGATCTTTGTATCTCCAGAGGAGAACCAGCATATTGTCTTATTCTCAGTGGGCTTTGCAACAGGTCGTGTGCTATCTCCATGAGTGACTCAATCAAACCCATACAGTCTATCCTGAAACTGACTTCAGTTACAGACCTTAATGGCTCGAAACATCTAAACTATTTTCCATCATATTTTCCTTTCTATAATATTTTGCCACCCCTACTTAAAAAGAGTTCTGAAGAAACTTGTAGGATTTCACATTTTGAGAACTTCAAGTTGTTATCAAAAGCAAAAATTACTCACCTGAAGATTTTGTCATTAAAATTATCTTTTTGTTCTTTGCCATCTATCAATAGCCCATCTCCACTTATAAATAAAATTGATCTGAATAATCTTACCTAGAGTCAGACACGACTGGACAAATTTAAAGATTTTATAAATTGGAGCTCATTTTCAAAACTTTCCCACAATATTGAAATTTGAATTAATAGGCAGGCATTTTAGGGAATTCATCCAGGATCTCAAAATCATTTAAAGGAATGATCCGCTTGTTGGAATTACCTCTGATCTTAATTTGTACAAGCTGTCAAAGTTTATTTTCTCAGTTTTTGGAAAAAACATAGAACCAGTCTTTACTCTAATATCCCAAGTACTTGATGAGGGCACCCAAATACAGCCTAAAAAATTAGGCATATTTTGCTCCTCTGTAATTTCGAGAAGAATGCTGGTTTCTTGGCCAACTACACTACATTTCCAACACAATAAAATCAAGGTTACAGCTAGACCTCTGTATTCGAGCTACAGTCTTCCCAGCCCTCCCTTCTGTGTTCCAGAAGGGTTTCCCCCACAAAAATCTAGAACAAGTTCAGAAATGAGCGGTGTAATAAACCCTGAGTAGGCACACTGACACTGTGCTGCCTCATATGAGGAAAATATGCATGAAAGCTAAGTACAGTGGGGTCTTGACTTAAGAACGGCTTGAGTTAAGAACATTTTGACTTAAGAACCACTCTCATAGGAAAATATTGACTTGACTTACATACTTAGATTTGAGTTAAGAACTGAAAAAAACCCACGTGGGAGGCAGGGAAAGTGCAAAATTTGAACTTTCAGTTAACTGTTGGCCACTGAAAAGGGTGATGATGATTGTGATGATTGTTTGTTTGTTTGTTTGTTTGTTTGTTTGTTTGTTTTCCAACAACACAAGAGGCGACTCTATACATGGAAATCACCAGATGGGCAATATCGAAATCAGATTGATTATATTCTCTGCAGCCAAAGATGGAGAAGCTCTATACAGTCAGCAAAAACAAGACCTGGAGCTGACTGCGGTTCTGATCATCAGCTTCTCATAGCAAAATTCAAGCTTAGACTGAAGAGAGTAGGAAAAACCACTGGGCCACTCAGGTATAATCTAAACCAAATCAAGTTCTCAAGTCAAGACCCCACTTTAAGTATTAATTCTGGTTTGATGAGTCAAATTGTATTTTTTTAATTTTTTAATTTTTTATTATAAAACAACCAATTAATTATTTAGAAACACTTACAACAGTTACCCCACATGGCTGGTTAAAACCAATATTGTATAGTTGGAGCAAATAGAAAATGAAGGCTCTTAGTCTCTTGTAAAATCACTCCAGGCTAGTTCTGGGAGAAAGGAATGGACCTCCGTGGCACCTCTTCATATTTGTATCCCCAGGGATACGAATATGAAGCACCAATGTCTATTTGATATCATAGCTTGGAAAACCAATTTATTTTACTTACCAATATTTTTAATAGAAGCCACAGAGAGGTCAGGGTCTGTTGTGCAAAGAATTATTCCAAATATTATGTTGTCATCCCGGGTCCATTTATGTTGGTTAGTTTTGTAAGTTAACCAACCTAGAGAAGCACAATTCATCACAAATCCAAGAACAGCAAGAATTAACACCTGTAAATACAATACATATATACAGTATTGGAATTAAAATATATACAAATTATTTACAGTATCTCAGAATTATTTACTGCATCCAAATATATTAAATGAAGGTAGGCAGGACTGAAGTTTTAATGCCATAGGAGTATGAATGTTAAGAGGCTCATAATGACTGAAATTTTAAGAATGTAAGAATTATGTATTTATACCAATCAACTACATTATTTAAAATTTGGAATAGTCACAGTTTACACACATTAGGGAGGTTTCCTCTTCATACTTGTGTGACTGCAATTTCACAACAGTTCATGAACACATACAAATCAATTAATTAATTGTTATAATTTTTTTTAGAACTTGTTATCCTTATGTTGTAAGCTGCCTAGAGTGGTTGAAATGACTAGATAGGCGGGGTATAAATACAATAAATAAATAAATAAAAATAAAAATAGTTTTCTAAATGGAGATTTCTCTCATTGAAGACAGAATTGCTCCAATGTTCTTCCAGTCTTTTGAACCTTGTCCTTGTAGCACTGATGCAGTATTTACTTTGTTTACAACAGCTTACAACAAAAACAAAAAAACACATCTTTTGTAGTAGAATATATCAGTCATTGATGGCACACCTCTTCACCATTTGCTACTCTCATCTTGTAGTGTATAAGAGAAAATCTTGTTTTTGAGTCTTTTGGAAAGCCATGTGACATATCCTGCTGTGGTCCATATTGTACTATAAGCTGTCGCAAATTATCACTGCAATGGTTAGGCCAGTTAGGAGGATCACTGTAATCCAAGCTGGGCACAACATTACCTTCTTTTGTAGTCATTGCAGTAATCTCACTTTCCTTGAAATCTTTTTTTTCTTCTGTCTGTTTTACTGAAAGGCCTACAAATTGTGAAAGTTCATTCTTAGAGTTTATACCACTTGCAGAAGGAGCACTGTGTACAGCTTCCTCAGTGGTAGTTTCAACAAGGGTATGTTGAAACTTGTTCTTTGCTTTCTGTCTGCAAAGGTATTTCTGGAAGAACCCCTCTTGCTTTGCTTGCTCCTTGGCTCATTTTGCCTTTTCTTTGCAGAACTGAGCTCCAGATGGTCATTTTTTATCAGCCATAGCTCTCCCTAGGATTAAGACAATATTGTACAGTGGTACCTCACAAGAAAAATGCCTCACGCAACGAAAAATTTGCAAGATGAAAGCATTTTGCAAATTTTTGTGCTTCGCAAGACAAATTTTCCTATGGCAAGACGAAGCACGGCGATAGGAAAGAACAAGGGAGCTTGACTGGTTGCCTAGCAAAGTTCCACCCTCATGACCGCCGCATAGAGCGGGTCCCCTCCATGCTGGCTGGAGGAGAAGACCACAGATGGTGCCACACTGGGTTGTGGGCTGGGCGGCAGTGACAGGTGCTGCTGGAGCAGCACTGCCTCCCTGCAGCGCAGTCTGGCCGCCAAGATGTTGTCGATGCTGAACATGCCAGCAGACATCCCCCGAAAGCTCACAGCGTCTGCCCACAGAGAGAGACAGAGAGAGGCCAGGAAGGAGAGAGGGACGGACAGATGGATGGAGAGAGGGAGTGAAGGGGCTGGAGGGAGGAAGGAGGGCTGTGGAAATGAAACTTTTCTGCCCAAGAGGAGAAGGCCGTGCACTTCGGTGAGTCCATGCTGGAGCAAATGAGCTTTCCCGAGGGGGAATGCAGCCCTGTTTCATGACTTATAACCCCAGGAAGTAGATCACAGTGGCTGGTGTCAATGGGACATTTGTAAGAAATAGGGGTTGCAGCAGGGGGTCACCTCAGGGAGGGGGACTCAAAGATATGCAGTACTGGCAACTCTGAAAGTGCTTACTTATTTATTTTTACTTACCCAGTGGTTTTTTGCTTACTGCCACTGATGCCATGGGTGATATATGCAAATGAGATATGTTAATGAGAGTACCAGCAGCCCCTTTTCTATGAAATGACCCCTTGGTTACAGTATATAGAAATATTTTGTAAGACTTTATAAATAATTATATTCCATGGCACTGTTATGGTTTTGATCTTAAAATTTTATAAATTTTCAGTTGCATTTTTTCAAGAAACTAGTCTGTATAAAACTGTGCCTCTCTCAGGTCAGTTATACGCTCCTCTGAATTCAGTTCTGCAACCCTCTGAGGTCAGTTTTGTGCCCCTCTCAGGTCTGCGCTCTAGGCAGTCGCCTAGTTCACCTAGTGGTAGCTCCGGCCCTGCATATACTCCAATAGGCACAGCTCTTGCCTATTGACTCAGTTCCACTTCCAAGCCCATACGTCAATTACAAAAAACACAATCAACAGTAGAATCATGGCTGAAAGAAGCACTTATATCAGAACAGGAAGGTGGGGAAAGATGGCCCTATAGCTCAAGCAGAGGGGACTCCCACCAAAAGTTCATTCCAGATAATTATTACATTATTGTCAAATATACAGCATGCTCACAGGGGTCCCAAGCGAGTCCTCCATTCTAGTGGTGGCACTTCCTTTTTACTGAGCTATAGAGTATGCTCGTAATGCTCTGAGCAATTGTGCATGATCAGAATGTTCCCTAAGGCCATCCAACCGTCTAGCAGCAGTCACTGAAAGCAGTGTATCCTTCCAGAACCATTCTGCTTCAGTACTGCATTATGGACATATTTGACCCACAACGCTGTGAAGGACATCAAAAGTCTACTGCATTATGGACATATTTGACCCACAACGCTGTGAAGGACATCAAAAGCTTTTTCTTTGTGAAATCAGAAGCCCAAAGCCCAGTTCCCTGGTTTTATTTTTAAATATATTGGCTGAAATCCTGTTGCACAATTACACAAAAGGCATGACTTTTTGAAGTGAATTGCTGCACGTCAAGAAATCTCTTTAGACACTATCTGTTGCATGCTGAGACACACAACTTTACTTAACTCAAAATGTTTCAGAGATAAAACAGCAAAAAGCATCCAATACATTACTCAGAATTATTATCAATTAATAAGGAAGAAAAAGGTTAAACAGATTAAATCAATTAAAGATGGTTCCCGAAATAAGATATATGACCCCTTTGCCAATCATTTTAAAGCTGTGTACTCATTCACATCCTGCAATGGCTAGTTATTTGACAATATCCTAAATAAATCTAATCTTCAAAAATTAATTTTAAAAAATACTTCCCTAATCAACCTATCATGCTCAAGGAGCTGCATCAAGCCAGTACAAAATTAAAACCTAATAAGACACAAGAACTAGTTGCTTTCTGAAAGGCTTTATTTGAAGGTCAACTGCTTCTCCTTCCACTTTTACTATGTAACTCTGTCTTACCAGGTGATCTCACACCAATGACCTTACACACTACCAGACTAATATTAATCAACAAGTCAGAGACCCAAAGGACTCAGACACATACCATCCCATTACATAAATGAACCAAGGGTCACAGATTTTTACAGGGATCCTGGATAATAAGTTAACTTGCATCACTGACAACTATATTAGAACAATTTGGATTCTTATGGAAATGTTACATAGCAAACTCAGTCAGAAGACTTTTCAATGCCTGTCATCGTTTCATTAGCAAGGTAAAACAAATGGTAGTCATCTCAAATCAGAGCATTTAATAACACTGAATGGAAATCAGAGCTTTCAATAACATTGAATGGAATTTTCTCTTTCAATTAGGTGAAAAGATGGGGACAAGGTTATAAGGAAATTCTACTGAAACCAGAAAATAATTATCATGATAAATGAACTGAACTCTATACCACATGAAGTCAGCGGAGCTACCAAACATATGAGGTGGAAACATTGGCAACCTGTGCTAGGTTAGACCCAACACTTAAATGAGTTAAAATCAGAAGCTACCAGTGTGTGCTTAACAACTTCATGTTCTCAATATGTCGCTCAAAAACTGAATCACACTGACAGCAACAATAGGTACACCAATTAATACTAAAGCAATTTAATAAATAATAATAATACAATGGTGTTAGATCTGCAAAGCTGGAAGGGACACCATAGATCATCCGGTACAGACACCATCAAGGAAACACAATGGGTAATTCAACTCCCAACCTCTGGCTCCGCAGGCAGATATCTAAGCCACTGAGCTATCCAGCAGTTCACTAAACAAACAATTAAAATTAAGGAATTTATCCAACACCATTCCATTAATCTTCAAACCAATCTTCAAGAAATTGAGCCAGCTAATCAAAGAGTGGAATAAAATTGTTCAGACTGACCCACATTGCAGTTTTCAGAATGACAACCCTGGCACAAATCCGACCATTTCTTCACCCAATGGCAGTAATACAATACAATGGAAAGTGTCAGGCTCTCTGACTCAGTTATTTACACTATTAAAACAAAGAACTCTGCTACTCCATTATATCATGCTGCCTTTCAAATCAGGCAATTAGCAAGAATAACATTCCATGAAGAGACCCTTGCTTGCCTCCTACTAGAAGCTTCAATTTTCAAAACTGAGCTGATAAAGGGTGCTCTACTTTCAGTGGAAATTCTAAAACACATTGAAAAAAACCTTCAAAACCCCTCCATAACATGGTCAATATCTGGCTAAAAGCCCTAAATGTTGGAAGGGACACCAGACATTTGCTTCTTGTTTCTAGATGTGACTGACTTGCGTTAAAGTATGCCTTTTCTTATCATTATTAGGTTTATTTTCACTTTCTATAAGTGAGATTGTAAATCTTCTACATCAAAGCACTATCTCATGCTTCACACTGTTGTTACAAAATGGTTGGAAATCCCTTGCGGATGTATGTATGAGACCAGTGGTTCCTAACCTCCGTTAACTCGGGTGTTCTTCGATTGTTAACTCGGGTGTTCTCGGCCAGCACTGCTGGTGGTGAAGGACTCTGGGAATTCAAACTTATCCATGGTTGAGGAACCACTGTATTAAACAATGATATATGAAGATCTGGAAAGTGACATGCAAAAGATTGCTGACTGAACAGATTTGAGCTCTAAGAACAAGGTGGAAAAATATTTTTAAAGAAACAAATTAAAAAGAAAAAATCTATGTAAATATAGTTTTTTATTTTAGATATATTATAATTCAAAGGTTGTTCATAAAGAAATAAAGATTAGGTTTTAATTATGTAGCATGAGGCTGTATAATCATGCAATATTGAAAAATTTTGGTAGATGAATTCCATTAATCCATCTACAAGGATTAACCTCTTCCAGAGGGTTCAGTAAATTTATTGGACATTTTTTTCTATGTAGAAGATATTATCACCGATGTTATTGGTTTAGTTGAACAACATTATTTCAATGTTTATTATTAAGTTAATGATTATTTTTCTCCTTCCAATAAAGTTCAAGAATAACGCATAACCTATGAGGTTAACCAGAAGTCCTCAACTTGGGAGGACAATTTGGAGCAGAAACAACAGGTAGTTAAGAACATCTGCAGTCTCCGCCACTTTTTCGCCTCAAATTGTCCCCTCCTGAAGCACCTGTTTCTCAAAAAGAGAGCAGTGATGACACCCATTTCTGGACAATGAACAATCATGTCCTTATCCTCGTGTGTGAGGATAATAAACTACTAAACAAAAAAACTGGAAATTATACACCTTACCTGCCAAAATGATTTTTGGAATATATAAAAATCCATTTCAAATGCAGCCGTGAAAATTATTACTGGTGAAAATAAATGCAGAAAAAGTACTGGATCTATCTCTGCAATGGTCTTGACAAAAGGTAACTGACAATATAAATGAACAGAAGATATCATTAGCTGAGAATGATTTATTTATATAATACAGTATATAGAAGATATTACATTCTTCCCTCCTTCCACAACACAGAAGTGCAGCCTCTATTTATTTATATTCTATACCAGAAAGAAGATAGATTGGTGCTCCTGGATCCCTGAGTCGGACGTCACGTTAGGTATGACACCTTACTTTTCTAGAGTAGCTTACAGTACATTTTGGATAGAGCAGCACATACACAGGCATTTGAAGCAACTAAGGCATTTAAAGCATTTTAAAACATGACACTTTCGAGACAATGAAAGAACTAATCTTAACGCCATTTGGATTTGTACTGTACACACTATCTCTTTTTTCTCCTTTCTTTTCTTATTCTTTAGCAGAACAGAACCGACTTTCCTAAACCCAGTTCTGAAATTCAGATCACATCATCCTCCCAATTTCATAAGCAGCACAGTCGGCTCCAGCTATCTCCCTGCACACACACAGCCATTTCCCTTAAAAGCCCTTGTACACTGCCTTACCAAAGCCTTCCCTTCCCACCTATCTCTTGATGATGGGAACAACTGTGCTGGGGGCCACAGTGGCTTCCTTCCCTGGAACCCAGAAGACCTCAACAGTTGTGTTAAGTACACAAAAGACATGAGACATATAAATTTTAGGGTGTATTTTAGATCAAAAATTTCCCAGCAGAGCTATTCACTTGAGGTGCTGTCCTCAGTACGTATAATGGCTCCTGAATCCCAAGACATGCTTTTTCCAAGGCTCTTGCAATTCATACTCAAGATTCAGATGTTCCAAAAAATGACCTCTCCCTGGCTTTGGGCAAAGATACACTACAGCGTTCAAGGTGCCAGAAAATGAAGGATTAGTTTAATCTGAGCAATAATCCAGAAAATTTGGAAGGGGAACATGTCAAGCAACATTATTAACAAGCAGAGGACTGGGAGGCATATGGCCTCGAATATCTAGTAATAAATGCTAATAAATTACAACTTGCCTTTCCTGTTGTAAGTTAGCTGAACCAGCAGCTTGTATCTACAAATGTGGTCCTCACCGACCAGATAGGCGGGGTATAAATTAAATAAATAATAAATAATAATAGTATACAAAGTAATAAGACAGCAAGCAGGCAAGGTGCAACTGTATCTGTATTTTTCAACTAAAACAACCAAGTCAAATTCCAACTGGCACAAGCTTTTGTGCACTGATATGCTTTTAATTTTATGAGTGTGGGGATATTCCAGTCCATCAGTACTAACTGTGCTACGGAATTTAAAATATTTCCTGTTACTGAAATTTATTTTTGATGTTGTGAGAGCAACCTTCCCAAATTATAAACTACTATTTTCTATTCATGCATATGAGAAAATTTATTTTCTGCTTTCTTTGTTTACTCCCATTTCCTTAAGTATAGATACAGTACCTGAGATGTTCCAATGATGACTCCAATGAAGAATACTATTACAAGAATAGGAATTTTTTTTCTTTTCAAAATAGTTCGCAGCAGGGCTGAAAGAAAGAAATGACTGCTAAATGCACAGGCAGTAAGTTAGTCAAAGCTTACCACTGGAAATAAAGCAAAGAGCCAGAAATACACAACATGTCCAATGCAACTAACATAGCTGGGCTTTCATATGCAGGGCAATACGAGGGTAGGGGTGGGGGTGGGGTGGGCTAAGCAACCTAATCAGTAACATAGGAACTCTTGTTTGACAAACAGTATTTTATCAGCTTCTCATCAGAGCATCCTGATAAGCTGATCAGAAGATGAATAAAATGATCATAATATAATCATAACATTTAAGTACATATGTTATAATTCCTGAGAATCCTGTCTTACATGGGCACACTAAAAGGGGTTCTCAAGAATTTCACATAGTGATGTGGGCAGAGTAGATAGAGATGGGCACTTACTGCAGTTCAGCATGGTTCAGTGGATCAGGCCCCACAGGTGTTGCACAGGTGCTCCAGGTTCTGCACCCCACCTCCTCCAGCAGCCCCCCCCATCAGAAGCAATGCTCCAGACGTCCCTACTCCGCCCCCTTCTGTGAGTGGGCACCTGGGGGAGGAGGTGGGGTGCAGAATCCAGGGTATTTGGACAACACCTGTGGGTGACATCTGCCAGATGGCACCAAACTGCTGGACAGCTGCAAGTGCCCATCTCTAGGGCACAGCATTGACTCTTACAAGAAGAAACACTCTGCACACTCATATCTCCTTAAGAGTTAATAATTAAGGCAGTGAAATATTACCAGTAAAACTGTCGCTGCTCAAGCATTAAAAGAGACTCAAATGGAATACCATTCAAATTGGTGTTGATAAATAGTTTGAGACCATTTCCTTGAATATGAATATGTAGGACTACAAAGGGTCAAAGGGATACTAATTATGAGAAAACAATGCTACAATGAGTTAGGAAAATGAAAAGGGGGGTTGCACCAAAAGGACTGGGTTTGATTCAAATCAAGATTTACATTTTTAAAAATTGGAAATTTTTTTGACAACTTAAATCAAAAATCATTTTTATTTTAAATTATTATTTAACTTGAATTTATATAACATTGATTTTAAAAAGACTCTTAATTTTTCTCCACCCTGTTTTGTAAGAGAGACTTAGGGAAAAAGCTGTGTGGCCCTTAGGATTGCCCTAACACAAAAGCAGCGTGATACATTTTGAGCCCCTTTTTTTAAAAAATCAAACAAATTGGAAGCTTTCAGACAAAAAAATTGGCTTCATCAGGCTGGACACCACTCCTTTCATTGACAGCACAGATAACCCTTTGTTTGAAGTTTGGGGTGGAAGTTTCCAACCATGCGGCAACAAATGGTGCTCAAGACCGCACACATACACCAGCTGATGTTTGCAACTTATGCCTCAACTCACCTCAGGCAAGCAGACATGGCATTGACATCTGCCCTGAATTTTTAGGACTCTTAGCTACAGCTCTTCTGTGCTACCTTGAAGCGGTAGTGCCCAGCCTAATGAAGTGGAATTTTCCCCATGAACGCTGGCAATTTATTTGATTTTGTTCGTGGTTCAATAAAGGTATCACACTACTCTTGCATTTTTATTTTATAAACATACTGTAGTGTGGCCCTTCTCTTTAGTGACCAGCAGGGTGGATTTGATTTAAATCGCAATTTAAATTTTTGAAATAGCAAGACCCCTGTATCCACACAAGATCAATTCCAAACCTGTCCAGCGGATGCTGTAAACTGAGAATAGCAAACTCTGTATGGTCTCTGGCTCCTTCTTAGTGGCCAGATCTAGTAAAAACATTGTGGAAATATGTATTTCTGGATTTTTTTTTCTTTTAAAATGTTTAATATTTTCAGACCGCTGTTTTGTTGTTATTGTATAATCATTAAGTCGTGAACCCATGGACCAGAGGACGCCAGGCCCTCCTGTCTTCCACTGCCTCTCAGAGTTGGGTGAGATTCATGTTGATAGTTTTGATGACACTGTCCAGCCATCTCATCCTCTGTTGTCCCCTTCTCCTTTTTCCTTCACACTTTCCCAACATCAGGGTCTTTTCCAGGGAGTCTTCTCTTCTCATGACATGGCTGAAGTACTGAAGCCTCAGCTTCAGTATCTGTCCTTCCAATGAGCACTCAGGGGTGATTTCCTTCAGAACTGATAGGTTTGTTCTCCTTACAGTGGGGCAATTTGCCACCTCACTGTAGATGGTGACAACAGCCATGAAATTAAAAGACCCCTGCTTCTTGGGAGGAAAGCGATGACAAACCTAGACAGCATCTTCAAAAGCAGAGACATCACCTTGCTGACAAAAGTCCACATAGTCAAAGCTATGGTTTTTCCACTAGTGATGTATGTAAGTGAGAGCTGGACCATAAAGAAGGCTGACTGCCAAAGAAGTGATGCTTTTGAATTGTGGTGCTGGAGGAGACTCTTGAGAGTCTCCTGCAATGCAAGGAGAACAAACCTATCAATTCTAAAGGAAATCAACCCTGAGTGCTCACTGGAAGGGCAGATCCTGAAGCTGAGGCTCCAATGTTTTGGCCATCTCATGAGAAGACTCCCTGAAAAAGACCCTGATGTTGGGAAAGTGGACAAGATGTTTGGACAGTGTCATCAAAGCTACCAACATGAATTTGACCCAACTCCAGGAGGCAGTGGAAGACAGGAGGGCTTGGCATGCTCTTGTCCATGGATTCACAAAGAGTTGGACACAACTTAACAACTAAATAACAACAACAACAAAACTGTGTGCAAAAGCAAGACCTTACTTCCGGTTAAAGACCTCATTCCTCCAAACAGAATCAGGATAATAAGGAACTCAATTTTTGACTGACCACAAAGGCTAGTAAAAATCTGCAGATGTTGCTTTCTTTCTTATTTCTCTTCCAGTCCAAATATTTCTTCACCAACTACATTCCATGATAATTCCTGAACTTGCCTTATGTCCACATAAAACATAAATAACCTTGTGGTGTTCAAATATAATTCCTTCTCCAAAGTGCAAAAGAACTGGAGGGAAATAAATTAAAGCTGAACACTACCTCTATTTACAGAAAAAAATGAATCTCCTTTTAGCAAATTAACACCTGTTTTAAAACAGTGCTTAATGATTTAAAGGTGCCTACCACCAAACCACATCATCATCATCATCATCATCATCATCATTATTATTATTAAAAATCCATCCATGTTGATTTAACATCATGCCACCTGGGTACAGCTTATAATCATTTGTTAAAACAATTACCATACATATTACGCTCCTAATCTATACAACGTCCTTCTAACCATTGATAGAACAAGTCCCATGTTTGATAATATTTTGTATCTTCTTTTCCTTTGATTTTCAGTGTTAGTCTATCAATTTCGGCGCAGTCCAATATCTTTTTAATTGTCAAACAACATTCTTTAGTAGCTACTGTGCTGACTGCTTATGAAAGAATGTCAGTCTGAGAAAAAGTATACTTTATTGCACAGATTTTTTTTTTTTTAAGAATCTACCACATTGCACCTATTACCATTACTATGGCTTTCTTCCCCATTCCCTTTTTTTTATCCCATGTTGCTAAAATAAAGGCATTTCCAATCTACAAAATATGTATAGGAGAACACTTCCCTGCGATCCAGCCATCCTCCCTCTTCCATCTCCTGCTTACTATCAGACAACTTGAACCCTCACAAGGGGGAGGGAAAGATTCTTTGAATTCCTTTTTAAACTGTTGACCATTAAAAAAAAGCCAGTCACAGAATTTGAAAGTAAGACATATATTAATCTATTTATAAGAAAATATTAAACATTTTCCTCAAACAAACAAAAATAACCCTCATTTGGAGCATTCTTTGGCACTGCCCTTCTTTGGGATTGGGATGTAGACTGATCTTCTCCAATCCTCTGGCCACTGCTGAGTTTTGGAAACTTGCTGGCATATTGAGCGTAGCACCTTAACAGCATTATCTTTTAAATTTTTAAATAGTTCAGCTGGAATGCCATCACCTACACTGGCCTTGTGGTTAGCTATGCTTTTTAAGGCCCGCTTGACTTCACTCTCCAGGATGTCTGGCTCAAGGTCAGCAGCCACACTATCATAATATGGGTCCTATTATGCTGGTACAAAATGCATCTTATATGCAAGGCAGACTTTTCGTTTACACGTCTCCAAAGTTATTACTTTTAGACTCATCCATTGTCATTAAACCCTCGCTTATTAAAAAAAAATCCTAGAAAAATTGCACAATTCAGCAAAAGGAAAACATTTTTATATCCCTTTTTTCAAAAACAGGAGAGGCACGGTGCACTTTCAGCTACAATCCTACAAACAGTTAATCACTCCCACTAAATGCAGTGGCCCAAATCTTTTTAGTTAGTCACACAGGCATAGCCCAAGTGGCATAAGGTTTGGAGAGAAAGTGACTCACTGGGCAAAACTGGTATCTAGCGTGAATTCTTAACCTGGGGCAATTTGCCTCCAAAAGTTATGCCATCTGTGCAGCCATACAAGGGGATTTTGACCATGGGAACTTTCCTTTGAGAAAATTTGAAAAGCATCTGCTCAGATTTGGAGTGCCCTGCCCTCAATGGCTTGTCTGCCAAATTTCAAGCCATTTTTTATGTCAGGTGAAGATATTTTTATTCTCTCAAGTATTTTAGATCTTTCTCTCCTGTACTGAGCAGGGGGTTGGACTTATATGTTCCAGCTTCATTAGTCTGTGATTCCTAGTCTTTTATTTAATTTCTGTTTGACCTTTGTTTCTGTTTCATTGCTGTGCCTGTGCTGTGTTCTCTTCCTCTTGTTTCAAATAGATTTGCATGCAGTGTACTGTATTCTCTTTACTTATTTACTATTCCTGGGCTTCAGTGACAGAGATCAGTGTCTAAAATTAAACTGAGGATAAAAAAAAATACACACTATAGCTAAATTACATTTTCGTAAAAATCAAAGATGAATAGAAGCCGCTTATAAAGGAGCCGTTTTGGGAAGGAGGCTGAGGCTCTCTTTCGCCCTCATCATCCTACCTCCCACGGCGAAACTCGCAACGATTACCAAGAGTATGACCGGCTGGTTGCGGCGGAGGATGTGAAAGTCGCGAACATCTTTGTCCCCATTATATTTGCTGCCAGACAAATCAGCAGCAACTGCAGCGCTCCCGGGAACTGGGGAAACGCCGGGGATGAAATGCGTGGCAGCCGCGCCGACATTAAAGTCTGCCATGGCGGTGCCTCCTTGACAGCTCCCTGGAGGGGGAGGCGGAGGAGGAGGAGAAGGAGAAGGAGGAGGAAGAGGGCAACGCTCCCACGGCGTCTCCAAGGCTGCCCCGAGGAGGAGGAGGAGGAGGAGGGCAACGCTCCCACGGCGTCGCCAAGGCTGCCCCTCGCTGCCGCCGGCCGACCGTGGAGGGCGAGAGAGAAAAAAAAAACCTCCCTCAAGGCTTTGGCAAAAGGCTCACCCCCCCACCACCACCCTCACCCCGCCTGGAGTCGCCTTCGCCCTCCGGAGAAGCGGAGGCGCCCAATACCAGCCGCGACCCGAGGCTGCCCTGCGACCAACGCCCGACCAGCCCTTCGAACTCCGCCGGCCTTTCTCGCCTCAGCAACCAACCGGCTGGAACGCACGCTTTCCGGGCCCCGCCCCTCGCCGTCCCCGCCCCTCCTGCTGCCACGAGGCCCGCCGGCCCGCCAGCTGTCTCGCGCTCGCTCGCTTGCCCGCTCGCGTGCATCAAAGCGCCTGTTCGCTGGGGAGCTCGGCGTTCTTGGGCAGGCTGCAGCTAGCCTGGGATGAAGGGGAGTTCTTGGGCGGGCTGCAGCTAGCCTGGGATGAAGGGGAGCGAGGAATGAAGGGTGCCGAATGAACAGGGATAGCATGACGAGCAATAAGGGGCAGAATAGTTAGACCCTCACGTGAAGGTCAGGGTGGCGGGGGGGGGGAGTTGTGAGCGCCCGCTTTTGATTTCATGGCTCCCTTCCCTTCCTTTAGGTATGATCAAGAGTTGAGGAGTATCGGGGCAGATTTGGAAGGGCAGGTGTTCCTCCTGCCTGTCCCCATGACCAGCCCCAAAAGGAGCAGATATTTTTGTGAAATTAATAGCTGTCAATATTCATTCAAACAAAGCCAACCCTGACACACTTTGCATGACAGCAGGGAGAGCCTGCGATCACTTACTGTTCCTGGGAAAATCGATTTCTTTTCCAGCTGCTCTGAGGAATTCAGCTGATGTCAGAGGGAACCCTGAGAGGGTAGCGACTGACGCCGCCGTCCTTGCTTAAGTGAGAGGCCTGGGACGTTGACTGCAAGCTCCGATTTCTTCACTGCAAGCATGTCCTGTCCCACCGCCCCCCCCAATGCTTTGAGAGGGTGCATTGTGTTGTACTACCGGATGTGTTCCCACTTCTGCTACATACAGTAGCTTGAACTGGCGGACTTTTCAGCAGGCTACATGAAAAGACTGAAGCATTTAAAACCTGGACTTACTACTGAATGGGAAGAATTTTTTGGATTGAGAGACTGACTAATAAAGAAATATTAAGGTGAATGAACAAAATAGATCTGTAATATGTATCTTTCCTTCCAAATCTAAAATCCAAATGTGCTACTGAGAGCCACGCTGTCCTGATGTTCTGATACGCAGGGTGCACCTCTTACTTACGAAGGTTTTTATCTGACTGTGGATGAGGAACTTCATATTTGTTTGTTTGTTTGTTTGTTTGTTTGTTTGTTTTAATTTATTTATTTATTTAATTTATTATGCCACCCACTCTACCCAAAGGTCTCTAGGAAGAAATCCTTTGTTCCAAGCACGTGGAATGGACCTTGAGCCTATCGATGAGGGAGGATGCTGCAGCCAGCTTTTCTGGATTGCAAAGAACTATGATGTACTTGGGTTCAGTCTAAATGACCTCTTAAATATTCCTTACAATTCTAATGGTAGATGCTCAGAGGATTGCTTCTGTTTTTGTGAATGGATCCAGTGGGTGAGAAGGTGTCTCAGCTATGGGCTACCAAGAAAGTGCAATAGTCTCTTCTTTGGACTACAGCCTAGCTAGAATGGCCAGTGGGGATTATGGAAGTTGTAGTTACAACAGTTACATCCTGTGGTTCTTCTGGTCCTCTAAGGCAGGGTGGGCAATTTGTGACCCTCCGGTGACTGGACCATCACCTTTCACATGCTGACAAGAGTTGCACTCCTACAGTATCTAGAGAGCCATGGGATGGCCAACTGTGCCCTAACGTACTAATTTAAGATGGGACCACATCAAGCAAATGTTGAGTGGCTGTTCTGGAGCTCAGATTGAAAGAGATGCATAGCCCCCATTTGCTGGATGTGAGAATTCAGTGTAGTTACTGATAGGGCGCATTATATGTTTGAGTTAATGCTGTGAACAATATAACAGAAATGCTATAAGTGTCCAGTAACCTTGTTCTCAAGGGAAGTCAACCCTGGCCAAAAACATTGATTCCCTGCAGTTCTCAACAATTTGAAAAAATCCAAGTATATAGGGGTAATAAGTGTATATTCCCTTTAGCTCACAACATTTTTTTGATTGCTTTCCTTATTACTAAACTCTGCTGTGAAGAATAAATTATAATTCTGGTATTTTCTGTAGGTCAAACAAAAGGCCTGCCTATTTATTATTGTAATTTAAACCTCACATTTTAAAGTGATAATATTTAGATGTAACTGCATTTTCAGGCTTAGAATATAGCTAATGTATGATGCTGAAAGATTCCATTCATTCACCCTTTCAAAACTACTGAGATGAAGAGGATATACAAAATAATAATTTGGTTCCCATATAAATGCAAAATTCTAATTCAGTAATGGGACTTTATTGCATCCTGAGTCATGTGTCAAGTTCAAGAGCTCTCTGTGCAGCTGCAGAAATTTCAATTGAGTTATAATGCTGCTACTATTAAATAATGTTGCATGTTATATGGCCAGAAAATTTTAAAGCTGTTAGTCTTCGGATTGCCCAGCATTAAAATTCACAGTAGCGGAAATTTTTTTTCTATGATACAAAAAAGGTTACAAATATTTCTAAAAGAATGATGTGAATGAAACAAAACAACTAAAAAAAAATCAAAACCTTATATTAATAACCTAAATACATTCAGTACTCCATACTGCTTTCAAATTTCTGACTGAAATGACCTATATATCTAACTTGCTTTAATTTCTATTATGTATACTAGATTTTTAAAATTTCTATTATAAAATCATAATTTTGTCTTCTTTTCCAGAAGCATGATCATAGCACTCAGTGAGTTAGATATTTGGCTTCAAAACCTGCCATTAGAAGTTCAATTCCCCAGTGGGTGTTCTCAGGAGAAGAGCCAGCCTTGTGTAACTTTAGGCAAGCCACACAGTCTCAGGGCACCCCTAAAAGAAGGGAATGGTAAACCTTTTCTGAGTATTTTCTGCTTAGGAAACCTTGAAAAGGGTCACCATAAATTAGAACTGAGTTGACAGCAAATATTTATTATATATTGCAAGGTCAACTCTCTTGGGGTAACACTTCAATGAGAACAGTGTCCTGTGACACCATAAAATACTAATATTATTTGATAAGCTTTCATGTCCCACAGTTCTCTTCATCAGCAGCAAGAAGCATTACCCTGGGTTATGGCTACACACAATTGATTAGGCTGAAATGTTAATGAGTTCAGAAAGAATTGACATGTCAAAAAAGCAAACCAAAACAGTTAACAATAATTGTCTCCTTAATATTGGCCCCTCTCAAAGCACTTATAGTGTTCAAGCAGACAACCTTGCTTTGATAAACTTATTAATACATATAGTATAATCACAGTTTATTACGCTACATATGTGAATCTCCTCACAAATCTGTAGAGGTTGTGCAAAGGACAAAAAGAATGGTATAATTGAATAGGTCGTTTTCAGGTTCACATTAAAAGTACTTTTTAATTATCAGCAGTGAGAGAAAAGAGATTGGTCTATAAAAATCGGTGGACAGCCCCAAGGGTTTAATGCTATGGGACCTAGGCTGCTTTAGAGAATTTTAATGTATCTAATTTTAATCTTCATTTCATTTGGCCTGCCAAAATCAGTTTTAGTGGCAGAGAGATGAATATCTACTCTTTCTAAATCAGCACTTCTTGTGGAACATGTTGTATTACCAACCCTGTCGATGCAGTTTCAAAGCTAATGCTATTCAGGGTTATTTTATTTATTTATTTGATTTTTACCCCATCCCTCTAGACCATGTCTACTCGTGCCACAGTGCAGAAATGGAAAGAACTGCAGCTTGGAAACATTGACTTACAACAATTCTGCTATGTAGCCCACATATTCCAGGTGCTTTTTAACAAACCTTTGGAGCAATGTTGTAGTTTGGGTTTGGATTGAAGCTGAGAAGCTTACAGAGTAGTTTAGGACTAAAAATAAAACAAAAAAAATACTTAACACTTGTGATGCATCCCTGCCTCCTGCTTGGCCAATTAGCCACTCCTGCTTGCAACCTTGTATTGTTATCCATTGAAGTTTAGGCTGAGAGACTGGTATACAATGACGCAGAGTTAATTAACCTTATGTGCACCTAGTAGGGCTATTCCCAGAAAACAGAGTTTGCAATAATCCTACAGCCCCAAAAAACTACAACAACCAATTCTACAGTATATTTATCTGTTATCTTTTAGGCTACCTGTGGACTTATTTAAATTGTTCTTTCAGACCCAGTTCCAGGCCAGACAAAACAGTTTGCATGCAGAAGCATCCCTCTTCACTGGCTTGGATGTGGACTGGCAGCAGGGGTCACCTTCAAGTCCCGGCTTCTCTCTGTCCTCAGGGTCAATCATCACACACTTCGGTTTTGCATTTAAACCAACATTTATTTCTGGACTTTCTAGAAAACTGGCAACATCAACTTTAATATCCAACAGCTCTTCTGCACCCAATGGGGTACAGAAAGGGGTTGTGTCTTTGACACAAAGGGTTCTGCAACTGAAAGTCCCAAAGTTCTCCTCTGTCTGTATCGCCGAGTTCCCTCAACAGGGAGTCGGATGTAATAGCATTGAGGGCACCTCCCTTCGAAGGGTATGTGATGGCCCCAGTAGTTTCTCTCCTGGCAAAGGTGTTTCCCAGGGACCCAGGTTGGTGTTCTCTCCTTCCCACCCGTATAGGTCCGTCCTTCTTGTTCTTGTCTTTCTCTTTCTCTCCTAGCTGTGTCTTCTCTAATCTTTGTGCCTCATTCCCAGTCTTGCTTTTCTCCTCAGTTTGAGGGTTTAACTAAGTGGTACCCCTCCACCTCTTCTCAGCCTCCTTCCATGGCACCATAAGCCTTTC